AGTCCACATGGTTTTATGCCCACCTGGACTACATGTATATTATTAAATTCTAGCTTTTCTCCAGCGTCTCTCTGTTGATTCATTTGGTTGCAAAAGGAAGGGACCGGCAGGCTAGTCGCCTGGCCTTGAGATGGGAGGCTGAGTCCCCCCAGCTGGCTTTCTTGCCTAAAATGGGACTAGAACTCCCAGTCTCCTGCTGAGTAGCCAAACTGGGAGTTCTAGTCCTACTTTAGGCATGAAAGCCAGCTGGGGGGACTCAGCCTCCCATCTCAAGGCCAGGCGACTAGCCTGCCGGTCCCTTCCTTTTGCAACCAAATGAATCAACAGAGAGACGCTGGAGAAAAGCTAGAATTTAATAATATACATGTAGTCCAGGTGGGCATAAAACCATGTGGACTGCTGCATTTTGCACCAACTGCAGCTCCCGGATGCTCTTCAAGGGGCGTGCATGATAGGGCTCCCTCTGATTTGCACCAGGTGCTTATGCGCTTAAAGACTATTTGAAGAATATCCTGCTCTTTTTCCTCAAGAGCAGGACAATCTCTTGCCCAAGACTTCGATTGATTGATTTTGTGCCATTAAGTCCATTCCCAGCAATATAAATAGATTCCCACCCCCCACTAGAATCATTTGATGCTAACATGGTCCCTTCGGACCTCCCAACTGCACACCCTTCACCACTAAACACCCCCCCTCCCACCCCATATGGGGGAAGGCTTGTGCTGTTCTGCTAGCTTGGAAGGTAGCTAACGAGGTCTTTCGGCTCTCCCTTTCCAGGAGAGGTTGCTTTCTCCTTCCTTTTATCCAGTCCCGTCCCCGTTAGCAAATGCCACTCATTAGCTTCTCGGGCAGATCAGATAAGAGGCCAGCCGTTATCTAAGTAAGCCAAAATCAAGGAGAGTTCTGAGTAAATGCATAGGCGGATGACACAGCTGGACAGGGTGGCCTTCTCCACGCACAGCCACAAAGAATCTTCCAGCTGTTCCTGGCGTTTTTCCTTTAGGGTATCTCCCACGTTTTGGTTGTCTGTAGTTACAACTGCAGGAAAAGTTTTAGACCTGTGTTTCTCAACCTTGGCCACTTGAAGATGTCCGGACTGGCTGGGGAATTCTGGGAGTTGAAGTCCGGACATCTTCAAGTGGCCAAGGTTGAGAAACACTGTTTTAGACTTTCAGCTTCTGGCTGTAGGTGGTTCTTGATTTGCAACTGTAGTGAGCGAACCATGATGGATAATCTTCGACTTACAACCGTTTGTTTAGGGACTGCTCAGAGTTGCAACGCCAATGAAAAAAGTGACTTGTGACTGTTTTTCATGACTGGAGCTGTGGTGGCGCAGTGGTTAGAGTGCAGGACTGCAGGCTAATCCTGCTGACTGCCAGCTGCCAGCAGTTCAATAGTTCCATCCAGACTGGTTCAAGGTTGACTCAGCCTTCCGTCCTTCCGAGGTGGGTAAAATGAGGGCCCAGATTGTTGTGGGCAAGAAGCTGGCTCTGTAAACTGCTTAGAGAGGGCTGGAAAGCACTGGGAAGCGGTAGAGAAGTCTATTGCAAGGAAGGAGGGAGGGAGGGAAGGAAAGAAGGAAGGAAGGATGGAAGGACCGTGATGGCATAGTGGTTAGAATGCAATATTTATTAATTATTTATTTACTTACATACCGCTTCATAGGGCTTTCAGCCCTCTCTAAGCGGTTTACAGAGTCAGCCTCTTGCCCCCAACAATCTGGGTCCTCATTTTACCC